TCTCTCCTCTATTAGTCAAAAGATTATTACTTCAGTTTTGTTTGTTTTTTCAGTTGAATAAAATGATGGCACATCCAGGCATTGATTTCTTCTAAGCATTTCCTCAGTGCTTGAATTGGTTCATAGTCACCTGGTGACATGGTGATGTAAAGCTGTGTGTCGTCAGCATAGTTATGGTAGCTGATGTTGTTTTTTATTAACTGAGCAAGAGGGAGCATGTAGATATTGAATAAGTAAGTTTTTGAGTAAGTTTTTGTTATATATTGTTTGTTTGCATGTTGTTCTATATATTGTTAAAACACTTTACAGTCTGTATTTTATTGTTTATCTTTCAAATTTTCACTATTATGTTATTTTATGCATTTTTTCTAAGGTCCATATTTGTGTGACCATTTTTTCTGTAATCTTTTTGCTGCTGTAAACATCACAATTTCCCCATGGTGGGACAATAAAGGCATTTTCTATTCTATATTATTCCTGATATTACAGCATTTGCACATTTTAATGTTTGTGGTCCCTAATGTTGAAGTTTTATCATAGCTTGTTAGTTTTTAGTTCCTGTCTTGAAATGTTTAGCCAACCGTTTTCACATTTTGAAAGATATTTAGTGAATTTCTGATTTAATATTCAAAATTTGATCAGAGCTTGATTGGCAGGTAACACGAATCCCTGTTTCTTTCTCTCTTGTTCAGGTTCTCATATGGATGCAGGATGTCGTGTCCTGATAGTTTCCAGGCAGGGCAGGAGTCGGTGCAGCGCTGTGGCCATCGCCTTCCTCATGCACCATTTCAAATACACACTGGAGGAAAGTGAAAGTCATTAAACCTCAATCCAAAAAAGTTAAAAAACAAATCACTGGAGACGTTTTGCTTCCCATACAGGAAGCTTTTTCAATTCAAAATGTGAAAAAGCTTCCTGGATGGGAAGCGAAATGTCTTTAAACTTGGAAACAAAGTCCAGTGAATTGTTTTTAACATTTTTTGGAATGACTAAGACCTGGATGACTGAGAATCTTCACCAGCATTAAACCTAAATGAACATAACAAAAAAATAATAATAATAATAAAAAAAAAAAAATGGTTGCAGGAAAAAAAAATGCGTTTAATCAAAATAACATTAGTGACTAGTTTCAAATTAATTTCTACTGTTTGCATTTTTTGCATTCACAAAACTCGTTTTTATTATACTAAATATTGGATTGGCTGCAATAAAGAGGAATTAATGAAAAAAATATTTAGAGCATAACTGTAAAATAGCTAGTTTTATTATTATTTTTTTTTATCATTATTATTATTTTTTTTGTAGAGCACTTGTGCCCCCACTGGGTCCTTGCAATTCAGAGTCAAGGCATTTTCCCTTTTCAACCGTCACTTCTCTGTACAGTATAGTTTAGCATTATAGTGTATTTGTAGCCCTGGGATCTATCAGCCCATTAATGTACAACAGTTTTATTTAGTTTATTTAGTCACTTGTTAAACACATAGTTAGAAAATCCTACAAGTGGTTCATTTTTTATCTATTCTTGGTCATCTATGCATAATTGGGACAACACTTTGAGGTGTGGAGACAAAACAGCAACTGTTGAGCTCAGAGCAAAGAATCCTGTTCATATCTGTCAGTATTTATTCCAGGGCGGGGGATTGGAGGCCAGTCAACTATCATACATCAATAAAATAAAAAAAAGAAACTATACTCTTTGCAAATACAATTGCATTTTTATATTTCTTGACAGATTAAATCATATAGCCTCACATGCTGTAGATCAAATGGGGTATCAGCATCTAATTTGCATTATTTGTCCATATTTTTAACCTTCAGTTTGATTTTTAACATTTCCCCATTAAATTAATAGTAAAAGATTTTCTACAACCCAGGAGTTCCTCCAGCAGAGAGAACTTATTTTAACTAGTAATGATTGAGATTTACCTGAAGACAACAACTCAATACAATCTGCTGGATGTCCTTCACTGCATTGTTTAACCACTAGGTTAAAAATTAAAATGTATTTACTTTGAACATGTTTGCATCATTAGTCTGCATAGACTATAGTTTTTTTTTGTATAAAACATTTTATTTATTTACTTTTTACAAAAGCAAATCAAGACTAAATCTGTAATTAGTTGCCACTATATAAATAAAGGTAGCTGAATTGGGTCATATAATGAAATACAACATACTCTAAAAAAAAAGAAAAATCTTCTCAAAGATGTTTTAACCCAAACAATTTCCTTGTTTTAAGTGCTATATTGTTTGATCTTTGGAAATCAACATCTATGGAGGATGATTTTTTTTTATCTGCTTTTTACAGAAAGCCTGGAAACGCATGATAAAATGTAAACCCACCATGAGGCCCAACACTGGATTTCTTCAGCAGCTGAGTGACTGGGAGCGACACCTCATGGGGAGAAAACACACAGATCTATCAAAAGCCCGGTTTTGATGAAAAGATGCAACAGATTGTGATCTGCCATGTGTATTTTCACCTTTGCAAATTTCTTGGTCATTTGCTTTAAAAAGTAACTCTGCAAATTTATGAAGAAGTCTATGACATCATAATTTATTATATTTTCATCACCTTGTAGAAACACTTTCACCTTCATTCCGTCATTTATTATGAACATTTTAGACACAAACCTAACAAGTTTACATCATCATTATTATTATTATCAATTTTATTGCTTCAAAATTGTAGCAATTTAAAGCCTTTTACATGATAAAGATTTTGAATCAAACAATTTTCGCCTTAATAACATTTTCTAAGTAGTCAAAGACAATTCTAAATACAACTCAATTAATATTACGATGCATAAGATTTTACATATCATTTCTCTTTTTGTGATCAGAATTGTTTGTTCTTTAAAAAAAAAAAGATTT